TTATTATTATATAATGTCTACCTCTTTGTTATTTCTGTAAATGTCCATCTTTTTCCAATCAATAATCATTGTTTAAATTTAAATATTGCTAATAATTTATCAAAGGTCCAAATAACGTCGAGTCACTTTTTATAATGAGACATTATAATTTATTAGGGGAATGAGGAAAATTGAGTATTTTGTAGTAGGTATACCAACTTGTATTCTAATAATCCTATTGCATTGCCATTTGACAATAATTTAATAATCTTAATATTGTCTGCAAGATAATATATTTTATACGTATACACCCATATGGCATATAGGTATTCTAGTAAGAAACAATGGTTAGAGTTAAAAATAATATATAAGTAGGTAATAACTAATTAACTAAAACAAACATTACATTATTATTTAGGTACAATAACTGTAAATACCAACTACTTTCAAAAAATTAGAAGCTCTATTATTTTTTTTGGCGTTACATTTATTCATCTATATGTATATAAAATTGAATGGACGTTTATATGGGGACATGTGGCTTATATATGTTATAGGTTTAGCAACTATCAACTACACCAAATTGTACACACATTCCTTGAGACTCGGAGAATGTTATTTGCTACGTTTTTAAAGTTTCCATCCATATATAGATTACTGTAGGGTGGTTCACACATAAATCTCGTTTTGGCTATAAAAACTGAATAATTATTTTGTTTATATAATACCGATAGGCAAGGGCGTCCATCTTCGAAAATCCAGGGGGGGGGTCACTGTATTTTTTCGGCTATGATTTTTTCAACAATATTGTCCTTATTCTGTTAACCTGTTAAGGAACTGTCATATGTAAGTTTAAGTAGCATAATATTATTGTAATCATTCAAATAATAATAGTATTAACTATTATTAGTATTTATTAATTTATCATAACTATATAATTATTTATAAAATAAATAAGAGAAAGTAAAGTTCAAATTCTAATAAAATGTAAAATATATAGCATAAAAAATGCACTTTATTTTTTAACTAATACAATTAGGTAATACTTAAAAAAGTAAAAAACATTATACTACTATAAAAATAATTACATTTTAAAACAAGAACTGTAAGTTATAAGTTTTTTTTTTGAAAATTCATAAACAACATTTTGAACTAAATTTAAATCTTGAATTTTCTGTCTAGTGTACTAAGTAGAAAGTATACATGATCCAGATATAGTCTCTGCTCCGTTGTAGACCTTAACCATGTTTTTACATGGCGAAGTGTAGGTAATAAATTATCTTTGAATCGTACATGTTGTAGAAGGTATGTAAATGATGATAAGTACACTTTTTAATAAATGGAAAAAAGTCGCAATCCTAGAGGAGTAGAGGACGCTACACAGATATTTGTTGTCTCCGCGTCTTACAATTGCCTAACATAGCACATGTCACACTCAGCAGATCACGTTTAGCTTCGTTAGTTTAAAAATTAGAGTGAATTGACCTCTTATAGAATTTAAAGGTGAGATTATTATCTAGGGCAACTCAAGCTTTTATTATATTTTAAAACGAGTTATGAGTATTTTAAAATTGTAAATTGTTTGTATAGGTACATCTTAAAATACTCATAACTAGCTTTAAAATGAAAATATAACGAAAATCCTATGAGATACCCTAGATAATAACCTTAACTTTAAACTTTATAAGGGGGCAATTCACTCTATTTTTAAACTAACAGAGCTAAACTCGATTTGCAGAGCGTACAGAGCGTACCGTGTAAATGTCCGCGAAAGTATGAAATATTATCTCAGGCTTGGCGACTTTGGTAAAATTAATGAGATATAATATACATAGATATTAAACTTAATAATAAGCTATCCAATAATAATAGGTATTAACTTATTATTAAGTATTTAATATTTATGATGAATGATGATTATTTGTTGTTAAAATCATTGAACTACCTAATAAAAATCATCGACATATTATACTTATATTTTGTTTATATTAATAAAAAAACTATATTGATGGATACAATTAATTTCTGTAGTTATATAATAAGTTAGTAACAAGCACTATTTTCTATGATAATCAATTTTCTTTATTAGAAATTGTTTTTTGAGATAGCACTAAATCAGGAAAGTTTAGAGTTAGTTTGTACTACTTAAAAAAATATACCAAGTGCTATATCCACTTCGTAACAGGTGGATTATACCTATCGGCCATCTCGGTCAAAGTGGTTCACAAAGAGTGGTATACCGCTGTCAATTTACAAGTAAACTGATAGGTAAGTACACTATAAAACCAAGATACATCTGTATGGCACCGTATTTTATGTTTCTTTATTTTTCCCCTAGGAAAGTCCGCTTATATAGGAATCTATAGAAAAAAATCTTGAATAAAAACAATAGTGCAGATGGTAGTTATAGCTAATAACAAAATTACATTACTTATATGTGACCTACGTTTGTTTTTGTTAAAGTTGTAAAATATTTATAACGAGTTAAGACTCAGGCACCTTACAATATGTTAATCTAAAACATAATTTAATAATTTAATTCAAAAAGAAAATAACTGTAGGTATTGAAAATTTTTTTTTATAAATAAAAAAGTAATAAGAGCTAGTAAAATATTATGAACTGTAAAAACTGTATGAAGTGTTAAATTGTTTGAAATGTTTGAATATACCTTATAATATAAAATTAATAAAAATGTATGATACTACGGTTTTTATTTTTGAAACTTGTAACGTGATTGAAAACACCGCGATGCGACTAAAGACGTCTAATGTAGAAACTGGCTTGACTAACGTCGAGTGAAGAATTACTTAAAACAAATTAACATATGAAATAAAACCTTTTAATATAGGTACGTATAATCAGATTTGTTTTTTTTAAGTGGGGGGAGGATGGAGATAGCGCTACGCCACAAAATAACTATATAACATATTATATTATATTAATAATTAAATGTATATATTATTTTCGTTGATAAAGTAAAAATATTGTTTTGTATAGGTATGGTATAGATAATTAATTAAATCTTGAATATTAAAAATGTTTCAATTTAATACCTATTAAAAAAACTAACACCTACCTATCATTTCCTTTTTTCCTATTACCTATGCTTTTTTCTATTGATTTTTTTTAGTTACCTTTTTTCCTATTACCGGTTATAGCTATAGTCAATTTTAAAACAGTTATCACAAAAATGTTCATAATTTCTTTCAGCTCTTTCTAAACACAATAAACCTCCCGAACAATTGATTATACTGTGTAGTGTATTTTATTAAACTGTATAGGGCAATATAATAGTAAGTAAAGTTAGTACTTAGTAGGTATCAGGATGTATACATTGCCAGTTTTATATTTAGTACAAAAATTATTCACGCGTTATAATCAGCGACTTAAAAATGTTGGAAAAGGTCAAATAGGTACTGCTTTTATTTCTATTATTGATGACTCACAAAAACGTTATAAGTAGGAGTGATAATAATATATTTATATTCAATAAAATATTTCTAAATAATATGTTTTTAATTTAAATATGCTGCAAACATGTATTGTTATGATTTACTTTGGATCTGCTAGGTACTTGCTCAGTGGGGGCCCATCATTATTCTGTGAAATAAATAATAACAAAAAAAAAATAAGACTAATTAGGTACACCAATTACAAATATAATTTAAATATAGTAAAATTAAAACAAAAAAATGTTTTTATTTTTTTTATCAAACTTTGTGTATATCTTTAATGGCTTCTAGCCTCGACCTTTATCCATGTTCTTACTTATTAGTTATTATACTAGATTTCGAGCAAAGCAATGCATGCATTGGTTTTACAATGATGTGTGATTTATTTATTGGAAACTTTGTATTGAATTTTCCTGCAGCTTTTTAAAGCACAATTAAAAATGTTATCAATTACCTGGCAGATAGGTACGTACTTTGAAACTTTTAATATTAATCAAGATTCCAATGGCCACCAACCACAATTTTATAGTTTATTTAACAAAATTTAGTTCTATAAAAATGTTTCACAAATTTCTGGACCGATTGAAGTAAAATGGAAAAAATTGGACGGTACCCTATGGCCTATAGCCTTATGATATTTGCCATTAATAATAACTAATAAGGTAACTATTACTAATTACTATTGAGTATAGATAGTACTATCTATACTCAATGCTATTACTAAATAATTGCGGACAGTGGAGGAGTTTCAAATTTTTCGGGGGAGGGGGGGAGTCCTCAGTTTATACATAATTAATATAAATGTATAATATATATTATAATATCATTAATATCTTGTAATAGTGACGTCCTTATGCAGTTAGTTTTTGGAGGAACTTGAACTAAATATATACCGTATAGTCGTATATAATAGTATATAATCGTATTGTATGACCCCGAAGATATTGTGTATCTATACCAAACTTTCTGAGATTGTCAAGTATAAGTCTTGATAAACTTTTTCCAGGTGCATCAGTGGTTGGAACAAATTGTAGAAAATCTTCGTGTAATTCAAGGGATTTTAAATCAATATACCGAACGCAAATAGACACATGTTCGAGACCGGCTATATGTGCAGTTTCGTTGACAAGAACTGTAAAACATTTCGCTTCATTTACTCTGCCTACTATTTTTTGAGTAAAATTGAATTGCACTAATCAATTATAGCATTTTTACTAATAGGACTCTGGACTTGTATATTTTATTGTACCAGAACTTTCAAGGTGTATTTTAAGCGAAGCATCACCGCGAGCTCTAAAACGTAATAAATTACGAAAATTTCAGTCGTTAACATTATTATTATCAACAGTTAATTTTCCAAAATCACGATGACCTCATAGAGGTATATTTTATCGACCGCATAAAATAATTGCTTCAATAACAGGTGAAAAGTTTTTTCTATTTTCAAAAATTTGTCGTGCCCGAGCAGTGTCTAACTGATTTTCAATAGATAAATGTACGTTTTTTTTATATCTATGAAATGATCTGCATCCAAGAAGGATTATTTGTGATACTGAACTACTGAAGTGTTACATGATTTTTAAATGTTTCCATTGCATGTTTCCAATTTTGAAAAGGGTTTCAACCAAAGCGCCTAGTGCAGTTTGAAAGTTTATGCTAGATCCTGATTTAGCAATCGTTACACAAAACGTACAAAAGACACCATCTAATATTGCGGAGTACGCTAACCACGGAAAAGTATGCAACCATCTGTGTTTAAATTTTAAATTTTTGGATCGTTTATCTTTACCACTAAATATCACAGTATTAGGGAATTCAAAAGAAGGTTCAGGCTTCCAAATTTTTTTAAGAACTTCTTCTTTCTCTACATCTGTTAACGAGCGGTTAAAATAAAATCCAATATCGAAATTGTTAAAATTATGTTCATTTTCTGTTTCAGTATTGTCAGATTTGTTTGACAGTTTGGTACATTTGACATTATTATCTATATTTGGTGAAAATGGTCGTTTATTTGGAGAAGTTACGGAAACTAAAGATTTGTAATGGTCAAATTGCAGAACATTTGTATCATTGGATATTTTAAAAAGTTGGCTTAACGAAGTTTGCTCAGACATAAAAAAAGCAATTTATTGTGTACTTATTTAATATTGACTAAAATATAATAAATTTTTTTATGGGGGGGGGGGGTACTAACGTTTTTTCTAGCTTTTGCAATGTTAGAATAGTATAGAATATCTAATTATGACCCCTTTGTTTATAAAGTGTATTTACTCTTTTTATGACTATTTATGTTCAACTATCAATGGCAGGTACTATAGGTAATACTAATACCTATACGGCTATACGTTTAATTTTAATACAACATTATTGTAAGCCATACGTTAATTATTCATTAATATAAGTATATTAATAATTAGTATATAATTATATCAATATGTGTTGGAAACAAAACATTTCATATTTTGTTCGAATATCATGACAATTTATTAACAAGAATACAAAACTATATTAAGGCTGTAGAAAGCTGGTCGTTTTTTCGTGCATTTAGACCAATGAGTGGAAAAAATATACCTACTTCCAGAAGTCTATTTTTAATTTTGAAAAAATGTCACTTTTTGGGACTTTTGCAGCATATGAGAGTTGAACATTTTTTATCGCAAAATATAATGACATGTGACTGCGCGTATGCAAAGGCGCAAATAGTGTTGGGGATTTGGGGGGGGGGAATTAAAGCCTTACTTTGATAATATTGAATAAGATTTAAATAAAATGTAGGAAATGCTTGGGGGGTTATGCACATTTTGGGGGGCTTAGTCCCTAAAGCCCCCCCTAATTGCGCCTATGCACGTATGTACGTTTCGAATTTCCAAGAATCTTAGACCTAGTTCATCTTTAATTACATAAAGCTTTCGGGGAACTCACGCACACTAATGATCAGTCACAACTCACAACACGCACAGTCACACAGGCACACAGCACTAAAGATGGATATAGAATATTTTCTTAATCTGACCCCTTAAAAATGGTTCGCTTTTAATAATAATAATAATAATAATAATAATGTTTATTGCAACAACAGAATATATACATTAATTACAAAAAATATGACTTAAATATTGCAGCACCCCTATAAGCAAAGCTTGTGCTGGGGTTTTAACAGCCATAAGTTTTAGTTTTTATCAAAAATATAATAAAATATAAAATAAACAAAAAAAAAAATGTCGGGGGGAACTTGCGACGCGCCCCTAATGCCCCCCTGGCTACAGAACTGTGTTCAATGAACTTAAAACAATAAAACTAAAATATGTCCTATGCTGGTTATAATCCATATTATATCAATGAGCACTGAGCTCACGCCCCCACCATTGGCTATAATCAAAACATCGAAACAACATACAAATTAATTATTATAATTATTTTTTAATATTTTGGCTTTGCTTCTCCCCCCCCCACCATTTTTAAATCCTGACTACGAAACTGTCAGTGACCATGTGTAGTTTGGAATATTTAATTAATTTAGACTATTTTAAATTTAAACAGACAATACCTAAAAATGAGCATAAAAAGGTGGTGTCTCATACTCTAGAACGAGTAATATTATTATAGTATAATAAAAATTTAAAATACATAATAATATATTATTATTGTGCATGAATATATGGTGTGTAGTACAATAATTATGGAAGTGCTTAACACATTTGGCGACACTGAAAATGCAGCTGTGAACGGACCCGTTATGTTTTTGTTTCTCATTTTTTTTTTATCATTTGCAGTCGGGCCGTGCGTCTCGCGCTAGTGTGTTAATGTAATTTTCTTTTTTCTTTTTTTTATAGTTTATTTTCAAATTTCATAATTATTATTGTTGAAAATGTTTCATTTTTATCGTTAGTGTCTATTCCAAATTGTTTAATGTTAGGTTTATAGTGAAGTTGCTTAGGTTCGTGTTAAAGTTAATAGAAAATTCCTTAACCGTGTGGCTCCGGCAAGAATATTTACATTGTCCAATGATTGTAATGAATCAAATTTGGTTAACTGGATACGTTTAAAAACTCAAGGTAAGATTTTTTTTGATTATTTATATGCGTTTACAAACATCCCAATAATCATGATTTGTGCGTAAAAGACATCATAATATGTTTAGTAAAATCATAGTTAAATAATGGATACCTACCTGACATCAGTGGTATTGCATTAAAATATTTTATAATCACACATTTTACTTCTCCCTATACTTGTTAAAATGCTTAGGTGGTGAATTTTGAGTTAAAATAAGTTTATTTTGATTAAAGAACCGTACCTATGTTTATATATCTGATATTGAGGCTTACTACATTACTATATAGACTCTAATATAGCCTATAGGTAGGTAACTTACTAACTAATTGCAGACTTGGGTAAAATACTTTAAAACATATTTGGAATAAATACTTGAATACTTATGACAAATAGTATTCTAAATATGTATTCAAATTCTGATTCAAATACTTCATAAAAATTGAGATAAAAATAGTGTTCCAAATAAAATACCTAGGTATATAAAAAAATTTGAAATTAGCGTTAACATTCCTACCTATATAATTTAATAATTCTAAATATAATATAATTTAAGTTGTTCATACTTGATTTAACATTTTAAAATGTGTAGGTACACCTAATATTGTTAAAATTCCCAGAAAAACAAAGAAAACAATTATTATTGTAAATAAAAATTATTTTTATATAGGAATAAGATAGTATTAATAATTATACGGAACAGTTGTTCAGAATACTTTTGGGAAAAGTATTTTAAATATCTATTTAAAAATTATTCCAAATGCTGTATTCAAAATACTACCCAAGACTGCCTAATTGCACAGATTTATAATTGAGTAGGTATCTAAATCGTTTTTAAGTTCTACAATTTATCTTTTTAGGTTATAATAAAAACAAAATTCCTTAGTACATAAAGTAAATAGGTAAAAATACATAGTTTTAAATTAATATTTACTTAGATAAAAATATTTTTGAATTCTACAATGTAAATAAAAGTTATATTGAAGTTATATTATCTTGGTATACCTGCAGTTAAAAATACAAGGTAATTTTCATTATTTAGCAGTGTACCTACCTATGCTAGTATTTTAACCATAGAATTAAATAGATGGCACAATGTTAAAATAAATAAATGTATACAAATAAACATAATATTTTCCTCTAATGATAGTATGTTGTTTTTAGATTTTCTAGTTATTACATATATCTCGCATATATATTAAGTACCTAATGGATTAAACTATTAATGGTCTTGACAATTATGTTAATAATATTTAGTAACCTTATTAAATGATGACATACCTATACCTAGATAATGTTAGTACCTAATGTTAACTATAATGGGTATTTAATTTACCAAAATAAAATAAAACTAAATTATGTCTAGAGATAAAATTATAAAAATATATATTATTGAGACAAGGAGAACAAATAATATATAGAAAAAACAAAACACTTGTAACCATTTATATTTAAAAATTTATATAAAGTTCACAAAAATTAAAAATAAATTGTATTAGGTAGGGTAGATACATATAATATATTACATCTATTTATCCACAAACTGATCATTATAATATTTTATTTAGTTTCTAAATAATCATTTAACATCTAAACTTATTGCCTACCTATTAGTTACCCAGAATAAATTATCATTGTTTTTAAAAATGTTTAAAAAGAAAGAAAAAAGTTATGTTGGGCTATTTTACATTTATTAAATAACATTTTACTTAACCCCTTCTCACTCCAAAATCCACTTGTATGTTTGCTGCAAGAACTATGCCCGAGAATCCTTCTTGTTGTCTTAAAAACAAATAGTGTGGCATCTTATTATACTAAAATTGTATGGATGAAATTATTCAAATTAGCCATGAAATAGGTGACTTTTTATCAAATCTTAAAAATAAAAATAACCTATGCTTATTGTACAGAGTAATGTACCTATCAATGCTTATAGATAGTGATTTTTTTCACCCCCCCCCCTCCCCCCCCGGCCATACCTACCTAACTATCTTTAATTATTTTGTGCTAGGGGAAGTTACCTTGCAGGCATTCATTTTTAATTTAAGTGCAGCTCTTATGATGTCGGGTAAAGTGTCGGTTAACGCTAACTGAACTGATTTTATTACCGGCAGAATTCGGCCGGTTAAGTGTCGGTTAACTTTAATTCGACTTTAATTGGATATTGTAAGAACGCCCCTTAGGTAAGCTGATACTAATATTTAAAAAAAATGGAAGTATTTTATAGTAATGCATTTTTTTTACATAAATTCAAGTCTTTAAAAAATAATATTTTTTTATAAATGTACTATTTTTTATGACAACATGTATTTTAATTTCTTTTTCCAAAGGCTCAAGCAGAATATTTTTTGTAGTTACCTCAACATAAAAATTGAATTTAGAACGAGTTACGAGTAGTTTACTTATGAGTTATATAATTTTAGTATTTTAAGTATAAATGAGTGGAGTGGTACAACAAATGCTAGTCCACTACTCCGCTCATTGAACTTTAAACACCTACTTATAAATACTAATAAACTGTTTTTCCGAAATTTGATTTTTATAGATTGATATACTCTAAATAATATTCAGCTTCTGATTATGAAAATAAAAATGTATGATGTCATTTAAAAGAATTAAAAACTTAAAAATTGATAACGATAAAAAAAATGTGGCTGTTTTACGACTTAAAATTATATATAAAAAAAAATGTTTTCTGAAATAATGAGTGTACGTTAAATGGATCACTCCGTATACATACACATTTGTGGATTTATATTTTTTAATATAATGACTCCTTTATTTTATTAAATGTATGGCTTCAGATGTTTGAGTCATCTGACATCCTCTGAGTTATCTAGTTGTAGTTGAATGTCTGCTGGATTAATGTCATCCCAGTTTTATCTCATGTTTAAATTCTAAGTATATAATATTTATTATTCAAACTATTTTTGCGAAGAATGACACGAGTATATGCACAATTTTTGTATTATTTTCTTTTTCGTATTTGTATTTGAACAGTTTTTAAAATTTTTTATTTCTTGATCCCCACCTGTCATTCGTTAAGGAGAACTGTGAATTA